GTCTCCGCCGGAGCGTGCGCGAACGTCGTCTCGCCCTTTCTGTTCATAGTTGACAAGCCAACCGGAGCAGACACAGGGGCCCGCTGGGTCAGGCAACTTGGCAGTAGTCTCGGCGGTACGCCCGCAGGGTTGCGGCGCACGCTGCTTCCTCTGGACCTCTGCAGCAAGTTGCGTGCAACCCAGGAAACCTTGAGTTTGGATTTGCAAGGGCTCCCTGCTGTATGCACAATAAACATTCGGGCAAGAGCACCTCACCAAGATGTGGGCATTTACCAAAGGCTTCAGCAAGTGCTGTCAACAGTCACGAGTCACGAGGCGCTGACATTCTGCACAGGGCCCCCCAGGTTGACATATTCTTGTAATTTACGATTCTCACAGGCTAGTGGGCCGGCGTGCGTTGCCCGTTTTGATTCGACCGTTCTCACAGTGGGGAGAACCGAACTAAAAGGGGTGGTGCGACTCTGCGCCGATGCCAGCCAACCTTCTGACCACTTGCTCCCACACTTTAGCGCATCGTTGGGAGGCCCCAGAGCTTCGAAGAGACCTCAGGACGTGGCCACTGAGCCGCCAGATCAGCACGGGAGTCATCGCGCACATTGTAAATAAGAGTTGCTCCCGTGTGGGTCTATGAATTTTCTTGCGCAGTATCCGAATCAGTGAGCAAGTCGTCTTCGAAGAGGTGCGCTTGAGGAGCTATAAGTTTCTCCTCCAATGCAGTAGCGTTACTCACGGGATCACGGGTGGTTTGCATGGCGGTACGGGCTCTCATGCGACCCCCCTGAGACTTCAAAGAAACAAGGAGGTCTTCATATATGCTCTGCGCAATGATACCTAAGGCGTCTTTGGAAAGCATCTTTGAGACTTTGGTCAACCTCAGACAACATCGACAAGAGACAAACGACGGTCTACAGTCAAAAACCTTGAGCCCGTACTGGATAGCACTTGTTACCGCTCAAGGCAATACCTAAGGCTAAGGGCGCCACCAAGAGAATAACCAGTGACTTAGCAGCACCTGAGGAGGCCACCAAGACAAAGATGTCAAGAGTCGCCAAGACAAAGATGCACCAAAGACAAAGGTGTACCTTTAGGCCCTCTCGCCTGTGACAACTGCAAACTCCTTGCTTTTGTCGACCTTTCCAGCACGTCGATCACTGACATCCGAGAACACACGTTTTCCCACTGTGTTCGTCTTCAGCACCTCTGGCTCCCAGTTACACCACAGACCATTCACTCAAAGGCCTTCATGGGCTGTGGAGTCATGCGAGAAGTTGAAGTCCCGCCAACACTTCGATACATTGCCCACAAAGCTTTCCCTGAAAAACCTACTACCTTAAGTAAGTAGATTACAAACGTCCTAAACACAAAGCAAAAGCACGTGCAACAACTCACAAGCACAGCGAAAGCACTCTCGCGCCTTTTACGCGCACTCGGCCTTGAGCCAAAGTAAAGTTCGAAAGCGGCTATGAAGGGACATTCCTGTAACAAGCGATTTTCATGCAAGATACTGAAGGTATCGAGCTTAAAGCATTCAAAGATGCATCCAAAACTCTCAAACTACAAAATCTACCAAAAACTCTTGCTCAAACAATTCCAAATGCAAAGTTCTGGTACAGAACGCTTGCTCAAGCATTCCAAGTGCAAAACCCTCACAGCTAAAGCTTTACAAGGCACTCAAACATGAGCTCTACTGTTCTCAAAACAGTTGTCTTGCAAACATTGGTTGTAAACTGACCTCGCTACGACCGCTACGAGTGTAGCTCGGCTATACACTTTCACACCCCCTTTCGAGGTCAAGTGTCAACATCATTCTGCGGCTTGGGACTCTCCTCACGCCTCGTCTTCAAACACTTCTTGCAGAAATGAAAGCGCGACAAAGCACGGCCTTTGGCATAGCTGCAGAAAGGTGTAAGATGCAACACTGTTCCTTTCTCAGTTCGGTAGTATGAATCGTGCATATCAAGCCAGTCTGCGAACACTGGTGGTACCAGATCGTTCACCTCAACGCTCATATCTCTCGTGCTCTTCTTTCCCATTGACTCAAGCCTCCTTGAATCGACAATCACCTGCACTGAGCGACAACAAAGCTTCGTCAGTATTCCTCCAACGAACATGCCACTCACGAAGATGAGAATACATAGAATCTCAAACTCTCGCCCATCCACATAAGCAGAAATCGCGGCTGCTTCCATGAACGGCGACGAAACGCGAACGCGCGCCCAAATAGCTGCGGATACAAGCAGTCAGCTAGCACAGCAAGCACAGCGAGCTTGAACCACACACAAAACAGAATAGAATAGAAATTGCATTCACCCTGAATCTCCAGACCTCCATGGCTTTGCCAATAAGACCTTCTGATCTCCGATTCCGATCTTCTCTTCAAGAGACATTCGACCGACCTCGAAAACCTCAGACTCATCAAAATCTATCTAATTCCTCTGACCTTTGACATTCGACGCTCTTCTCAAAAGAAAACTTCGAAGACTAAGACAAAAGACACTCTCTCTTTTCGCGACGTCCTCTCGACTTGATTGAAAAAGCTGTGCTGCAAAAGGAGAGAAAACACCCTTCATGGTGATAGATCCATCTCGGACCTTTGTCAATCCGGCAGCATCCGCTCACGCGCGTCCAGCCTCATTCCTCAGGAACGGAACGAAGTATCGAGCGAACACACGGGTGTATCGTTCTGTCTCTGTCCAATTGACATTGTTGAAAGCTGCGTGCTCGACAATGCACTGACATTTGAATCTTTCCGCTAATCTATTTGCAACTTCTTTCCGGTTTGACATAAACCTGAACCTCTTTCCGACTGGTTGTTGACTTTTGGTAAACATCTTCCATTGAACATCCGTTCACGATGCCTTCAAACTCTAGACGCTGGTTCGACAAGACCTTCCTCCAGACTTCCGACTTCCAGTACTGATTATTGGCTGGTAGTTCTAGACTCTTGGATACCTGGCCATAGACCTCATCCACCTTCTTCAAAAGACAAAAGACTTCCACATGCCTCTCTCTAGACTGTTGACGGAAGTTCAAGATTGGACTGCCTCCAGTACACGGTAGAGAAACATGAACGTGAATCTTGGTTCTGCACTCAGATCGACGGTGGGCCTCTGGCATCCTCCGTCCCTGACAAACAGATGAGATAAGCTCAATGATCTCTCTCTGAACTGCCTTTTCCTGAAGACAATCATGACATCCTATATAGGAGACTCCAACCTCCATACAAGCCTGCCTCAGACATGAGTTTCGACCGCAACACAATTCGACAAAGACCATGTCTCGACCATGTGTGTATGAAACTGCTGCTGAAGACGTTGAAGGCTGTGTAGATTGACACGTGCCTGGGCGGCTTCGCAGGCTCGATAGGAACACCAGATATCTGTCGTTCGCTGTTGGTGTCACCAATCCAGATCCCAAACATGCCAAACACGTTTGCTGCCCTTGCGCGACTGTCGCTGGCGTAGATGGCATCCCGGGCGTTGCTGCTAGCAATACCGGTTGGATCGTAGCTGCTTTGGCTTCCGTTCCAGTTGACGCCTTTTGTTCTGCTGGCGGATCGGCGGTGTTTTCGGCGCTGGCACGCCCGATCCTACCGACGTCGACTTCATCGGAGGAGTTTTCGGCGGCGGTACCGGTCTCGCTGGCGGCGTTTTTGGTTCCGGTACCTGGCTTGGTAGATAGCCTGGTGGCGGATGGTCGGGCTGCTTCGGTTGCTTCGGAACAAGTCTGACAGGCTTAGGATCTGCTGAACCCGAACCAGCTGCTGCTGAACCTGAACCAACTGTTGCTGAACCAGCCCAAGTCTGTACTTTCTCAATGACAGTGGTCTCAGGATTAGACCTGATGATCCTCCAAGCCTTTGCCTCTTCTGACTCGCCTGGACTCGCAGATGCCTCACCTGGACCTGCAACGACCTCCGTAGCTGCAACAATCTCTGTAGCTGCCGTAGGTGGTTCCTCTGCTTGGCTGACCTGTGGTTCAGTTGGATTGTTTGGAGGGTCTAGCATGACGCATGCGTCACCGATCCAGCAATAGTAAGATCGTCACGCAACGAAGGAGCACCTTCATCTTCTGCCCTTCGTGGACCCTTCCGGCCCGTCCTGCTCTTCTCATCCTCGCTGGATGACGCTAGCCTGTCACGCAGGTTGTCTCCTGACGCGCTCATGGCTGCGGATTCGAATGACCAACCTTCGGTCTCAGACGACCAACGCGCGATAGCTTCTTGAGCCTCTGAAGCCATAAACGAAGTGACGAAACGGACTGATTTCTTATTGCTACCTTACAGTGGGCTGTTCGTGCGAGTTGCCTGTTTGTCTTCAAGACATTCATTAATGTGCT